ATTCATATGCTCCAATTCATTACTGACTTATGAACAGTTTTTCCTCAAAATACATCAAAACATGTCCCACATTTTGGCGATTTTTTCCTATATGAAGGTCCTCCAACATTTTGCAAACAAAAATCCCAATAACTTTTTTATTTATCAATGGATTTTTAATTGTTTTTAAAACATAGTTCTTAGAATTTACTGTATTTTCATTTAAGTCCATTTTTAAGCAATTTGGATGAAAATTTAATTTTTCATTGTCATTGCTATTTTGCTATCTCCCCTGATGCTGATTTTGTTTCAATATAACCTCTAGGTCTTACTTGATCAAAATTCGAACCAGATTTATTTCCCTAGCGCTAGATCTAGCGATGTGGACTGGCAGCTCAGCTTTGGCGATCAGAAAGAAAGGGCTCTGGGCAAACTCGCTCGCTGTGTTTTCCCCCAACCCATCACATTGCTGTGACCTCTCCATCCCCGTATCGGAGAAGTGAGAGGCATAGTAGGCCTCGATAATCTAAACTAGGCTTACGATGGCTTATCTTGCGATAAGACTCCACTGTATAGATCTAGATCTAAATCTAGAGTAATCGTACCGGGTCGGGCAGCACGGTTTTTTTTAGCTGTCGGGCACTGTAGTACAAAAAAATTGTTTAAAACTTGGTTTTTAAGTAGATGTGAAGTGGTGTCAAGTCTGAAAACAACACTATCTTTAGCATTATACATGATGTGTGTCTAAACGAAGTTCGTAAACATGAATTAACCTATACTTTTGGTGTCGGGAACACTTTCGTATCGTGTACGCCGAAAACTATAAGGAGTTTGAATTTCAACGCCGAGATGGTAATAGATCTATCTATCCTCTATAGTGTGCTCAAATTTGAATGTTCTGTGTCCAAAGCGGCTTCGCACGGAGACCGGCCATTTTCCCCTCACTTTCGTGGCAAATTATGTGACCTACAAATCCCCGCAAGACTATTCCGGGCCTGTTCATTGGTCACTTGAAATAGGG